GATGGTACTGGATAGAACAATCGTAATCCTTGACCAACTCGAGCCAATGGCGCTGCCTCATATTTAGCTCCTTCTGTGTGAAAATGTACCGTAGGCTCTTATGGTCTGTGAATATCTCGCAGCGTCCGCCGTAAAGATAATGACGCCATATCTTCAGAGCGTGAACAACTGCGGCTAACTCTAAGTCGTGCGTAGGATAGTTCTGCTTATGAGGCTTAAGCTGACGTGAAGCGTACGCAATGACCCGTCCATCCTGCATAAGGACACATCCCAAGCCCCGCCTCGAAGCATCGCTATAGGTAGTGAAACTCCGAGAAGGATCGGGAATAGTCAACACTGGTGCTGAACTTAACCTCTTCCTGAGATGTACAAGCTTAACTTAAAGCTTATACTTACTGATTGCATGACTAGAGAATCCAGTAATTTAATACTGAATAAAAGACTTGATCTGAACTGAAGATACATCAATTCACAATTAAGTGAATTGTAAAATACTGTTGACTGAATATGGACACCTTTCTGAAAGAAAGTGTTCCACTTGCTAAGACAGGATTTCAAAACGAAACTCTGCGATATGTGGTCGTCCTCTTCTGGCTGCTGGCGGACCTCCAATCGGAATACTGGTGGTGAAGACTCTCTTCGCAATCTCCCCGTGTACTGAGACTCAGACATGGCATCCTTCAATGGAAAGCGTCGGTTTATCTTCATGGCACGATCCGTTGTTGTCGACTGGCTCTTCTCCATTGCGGCGAATGTCAACCTGTGGTACCTGCAACTTTTTACTCCCTCCGAGGTTACACTTAACCTCAAGAAGAAGTCCCTCATGACTTAATATCTCCCACGATTTCTCAGATTCTTTAGAATTTGAGAATCGAGGCGCTGACATACTGAAAATGGTAGATAAGTCTTGTCTTACCAGACAGACTATCCTCGATCTTGTCATGACTGACCTGAATACTCTCATAGCTGAAAAACCATGACTTAACTCTCATATGGCTGAATCATCTATGTTCGAACTCTGAAAACTATCTCGAGACAACTTAAATAGTCGTTTCGGGATTGAAAACATGATATTTACTGACTTACTTGACTTGATAAGGTACGACTTCAAGTTTCCAGGTAAATCTGAACTAATGGTCTGTATATCAGACCGCTACCTTTTACCCGGCTGAACAACTATTATACGTCGACCTTATATCATGAACATAACTGAAAATCGTGAATCTGAACTCTGTACTATATAGAGCTGCTCCAGTATCAACTGGTCCCGCAAGTACCAAGTAATTAGCTGATCTTGACTTCTGAAAGTCATAACTTAAAATAGCATGACTGATAAAATATCTGACATGACTGACTTGAAAGGTTGTTATTTCCTGAAATCTCACTGATTCGGCCCCAGCTTCAAGCCTCCATGGTATACCCGGCTGAGTGGCTCTTATTTCAAGCCTCCATGGTAACCCGGACTATTGACTCTTATACACTGGAAACCGTTACTTTAACGATGACTTGAGAATTTATAACAACCTTAAACATGAAAATCCTTGCCTTGATCTTGACTTACTGATCTGACTTAGGAACTTTGAGTCTATTCCTCGAATTAAATCAAGGAATTTCTCCCTGAAGTCTGCCAATTGATTGACAAAATGGCAGTTCCCGATAAGAGTTTCTGGAAAACACGATTCTTAAGATTTGTTTAGCACAAGTGCTTACAAATCCTCTGATTAGTTACTAACTTGACTTGAGTGAATCTAGAATTGACTCAATCCTTTTCTACGGTTCTGAATTCACTTGCCCCGATACGGGGATTTCTTCGGCCGAAGAATTTCTCAACATGATAGTCGCAAAACTGTGCGACTACTGTGGCTTAAATAAAAACTGAGTGATCGGGTTCCCTACGGGGCGATATCTGAACATCAAGAAGAGTTTTAATATTACTGAAAGTTACTGAATACATGATAACCTTACTGACTGATTACTAAG